CTCCTGAATTGTATAGGACAAGTGAATATTCTGAATTATTTACTGTTTCTGATAATAAGCTTGTTTTAATCCAAATTTTTGGAGGTGAGGATGAAACAGAAAAAATTGGTATGTTTTTCTTTTTTTGAAAATCATAAATTTGTCGTAAGATTGAAACGTAGTGATTTTACCGACCTTGTCAAACTGATAACATAATCACCAAAATCTGATACGTGAAAAATTAATCAATCTGATAACTTCTTAAAACTGATATAAAACGTGTATATTGGATTTTGGAGGTTTAACGTACTTAATTTCATGATTTAATATGTACAGTATATACATGGGCAAAGGAAAATTTGTTCTTTTCATCTGGTAATGATAATAGAAAAATAATTATCGAATCATGAAATTAACGTTGCGGCTGAAGCTGGAAAATTCTTTTATAATTAGGTTAGGATTTAGTGTTAGAGGTCATAATAAACGGACTTTAGTGAGGTCCGTATTTTTAAATAGAAACTTTCGATTCCCAGTTTCAACCTTTTCCAGCTTCAGTTGCTATAATGAGTTCATATAGGGTAAACGATACGAATATTGCAAAGAAATCAAATTTCTCGTGTTGAGATTTTCTTTTTTTTTTTTTTTTTTTATAGACGTGTTGAGATTTTCTAAAATATATATATGTACAAATTATTTTTTAAGGAATTTTCGATTTTGAAACCAAGAAACAAGTTATACAAAGTCTCTCAGATTCGCCAATTTGGGTTTATAATTCAGCTTTTTCGGAAACTGGAAACCTTATTATAACAGATTCTTATTCGTGGAGAGTATATGTCTTTGTTCCAAAGAAAATAGGAAATTCTCTCAAATTGATTTGCAAGTTAACAACTACGTTTGGGGACTCACCAGATACAAAAGTATTCATTACACCAAGAGAACAACTGCTCATATGTAATCCTGCATTAGGGTCCATCACAAAATGGGATATCGAGTCTCTATCATTTGTAACACATTTTTTCTTGAGTAACGTTTACATGGTTCAAAGCGCAAAGTTAAATTATGATGAATCATTATTATTGGTACACGCAACAAAACTCACGGAAAAAGGAGGGTCTTGTTCATATTTAATTATTTATTTGGCTAATAATGGGATGAGATTAGTAACTTGTAAGTTTTAAATTAAAATGTTGTATACATATATTGAAGTATATCGAGGTGTATTAATTTCTGTTATTATTAGATGCTTATTCTGAATC